CATGCTTCTCCTGCGGCACCCTTGCGGTGGCCCACCTGGTACGGACACCGCCAGGGCTCGGGCGGTGTCGCGGCCCCCTGGGAGGGGCTTATCGGTGGATCCTCGCCCATTCTTCCCACGGTCTAGGTCCCCCGCCTCGGCGCGCGTGGGGGTGAGTTGTCGCTTGCGGGTGGATCATTGGAGCGGCACATGCGGCGTCGTTCTCTGAGCGGCTCGAAATGGTCAGGTCGGCGTGTGAGTCATGAGCCGCGTCGTTATCTGAGGAGGAGTGATGCAATTTCAGTAGCATGTGCTTCGCTTTGCTGCCTCGCCTCTCTCGCCCCGGCCTGTTGTCATCGCAGGCTTCGGGAGTTCTTTTCAGAGCAGGTATTGATTGTCATCGCTTTTCAGTGCCCCAGTTTCCCTGGCACTTTCCAGGCTCCTGGCCAGGGCGCCGTCTGTGTGGATACTGTCGTTCTGGTGCCAGGCCTCGCAGTTCTGCGCGCCATCGGTTCAGTGCCGGCGCATGAGGCCTGACCAGAGTACAGCGCATCGCTCATACCCGCGTCCCACCACCACCGCCGCCACCCCCTCCCTTCCTTCCTGCAGCGCGTGAGCGAGCTCATCCCTCCATGGTTCTCTTCAAGGGGATGTCAGAAGGTCGGGCCGGGCGAAAGGGGGGGAATTGGGAAAGGGGGGGTTACGAAATTTGCTGCATGCAGCTGATTTCGGCCTCACCGAGGGGCCCATTCCTCGATACATAGTCGCCTCCGGCGCCGGGAGGCGCCGGGAAAATCAGCTACGTGAGCTGATTCTCAAACCCCCCCTTTGCTATCCCCCCCTTTCGCCCGACCCGAGAAGGGGGCTCGTGGGGAAAGCGGTGATACAAGTTTGGGGTCTGGGCGAGGTGGGCGTGGGAGTGCCCGCGTGGAAAAGAGCAGGGAGGGGTTCTTTCTCCCTCCCTCCCTTCTTCCAGCCGTCCTTTTGCCGTCCGCTTTTGTCTTTCCTTCCTCTACCCCTTCTCCCCTGTCTCCCCACTTCCTCTCCAGGTCCATCCCTGCTCATTTTTTTCTCCGACGTTCCTTGCGCCCGCCTTGGTTCGTACCTTTATCACCGCTGCGCGACGACAGAACGCCTACGAATTCCAGTCGTCGGGCATCGTTGACATGTTGGAGAAGATCCGCCACCGCTTCCAGGAAGAGCAGGACGTGCTACAGAAGGAGGAGCGCCGCACCTTGGCCATTACATCTCGACTTTGTCACCTCTTCGTCCCCCCCCCAGCCGTCGTACACTTCGTATGGCGCTACGCCAATCTTATTAACACATGTTGCAATTCGACGTGCACGTTACCCGTGCGTTGACTTTGAGCGAACATTCCCAGATTTTTGTCAGGGGCGTCCGCCAGATGTCGTCCAGAAAGAATTTGAATGCACCGAGCGAAAGTTTGCCCACGGTCCTTCCTCTTGATCTTTGCCTCTGTCGTCAATTGGCCCTTCCGTACATAGGATCGGCACAGTCCTCAGCACGCGCATCGGATAAAAAGATGGCGATGCTGTGGGCGTGAACCGTCCATCGTTGCCGTCACGGCAGGGGTGGCCCAGCCTACGATTCCAAGCAGATGGCCCATGTCCCGACGTCTGGTTGAGTCCCGTTCGGCAGACGCTCACGCAAGTATCCAATCAAGCCAAGTCCATCTTCGGCCCAGTATTGATGTGATCGCGATGGCGTGTGTGTGTGTGTGTGTGTGTGTTTGTGTTTGTGTGTACGTGTGTGTTTGTGTGTTGCCCGTGTGCGCAGCCCTTCTGGCTAGGATTGGGTTGATGTTCAGAGATCTCGGCTCCACGGTGTGTCTGACCAGCTTCTGTTAGAGGTACTCAGGGCGAAGCCCATGACAACAAGTCGGTGTGCCATGACACAAACGCAATGGTAACAATGACCCGTTGACCGGATGCGGCGTAAAGCAAACCTACCACATAGCGGGGTGGATGGTTGATCCGTTTTTGGGTCGTAGCTTCAGCCACGTTGTCGCTTTTCCGTTCGCGCGCCCTCTGATTACGGCCTTCCCGTTGGCTGAGCGGTCAGCCAAACATGTTGAGGTGGAATACCTCTTTTCTTGAGGGGCCTTACAGACTCTGCATCATGGCGCTGCCCGCAATTGCATTGGACCAGTCGGCGGAGAGCGGGGAGATGTGGGACCTCACCTGTGGCATCCCGCTGGTCACATACGCTGCTCTACGTTCAGTGCGTGACTGGGATGACTCGTGTGCTGAGTTCGTAACTCCCGCTGGCCCCCGGCGACCTCGCAGGTTCACGTACACCACGACCAGCTTTGATGTAGTAACGCACGGCTCGTGTGTTAATCTTTCCGCTTCCCATCAGGACGTCGCGGTGCTGCAAGTGACGCTCGGACCAGTCGGCAATATTGTCGCGACCCTCGACGGCGAGAGAACGTATACGAACCTGGCGCAGACTCATAATGTCGCCGAGGCGGTCGTGTGTGGGTGGACAGGGCCTCACAACTGCGAGTCCACAGACTATCCAACTGGGACTGGTCAGAGTCGGCTGGCAGCAAGTTTGCCAAATACCTCTAGGCTCGCGATAGGTACACGGCTCGCCGACCGGGGGAGGACGAGGACGAGGAGGCTCGCTTCTAAGACGCGCCCGCCAACCACCTGCGCTTCGTGTGGGTTCTCCGGGGTGTTCCCTCGCCGCTGTCATGAGCAGCCCGCTTGGTGTACTGATCGGGAGGCATCTTACGGAAGGCACGCCAGCATAATCCTCTTCGAAGCAAGCGGCAGCGCGATGCTACAAGAGGCGGGCCGCGAAGCACCTGGCGATACCCATGGGAGCCGCCATCTGGGGCCGCGATGAAGGCCAGATTGCAAGAAGCGACGTTCTTCGTGCGAGCCCCATGCTCCTTCTGCTTCATATGATTCGGGGCTTCTGCCGCGTCCGCGTGTGGTCTTGCCGCCAGTTCAAAAGTGCGTGCGCACGTGCCTTCTTGGACGGGCCAGGGTCGTGGCATAGAGATCTCGGGTCCATTGCGTGCTTGGCCAGTTTGGTCATAATGTGGGGTTGGCGCTCTCAAAACTGTTTTGAGGTCGAGGTCTGCTATGGTGGGTTGGGGCGTCGTGGAAGCAGGCTTCCAAGAGGGCGAGGTGCCAGCGGGCGGTGCGGAACGACGAGGATCTACTCATGATGGCAATGTTGATGATGCCATGCTGCTGCTGATGATGATGCTGATGCTGCTGCTGATGATGATGATGGTGATGATGATGACGATCGCGATGCTGATGATGCTGATGATGCTGATGATGAGGTTTATGATGATTATGATAGTGATGATGCCGATGATGGCGATGCTGCTGATGTTGATGTTTATGTTGATGTTAATGATGCTGATTATGAAACTGATGCTGGTGATGATGCTGATGATGATGCTGATACTTTTGATTGTGATGATATTGACGACGATGGTGATGTTGATGCTGATGATGGTGACGATGATGGTGATGAGGGCGATGATGGTGATGCTGATGCTGATGGCGATGATGATGACGCTGATGCTGATACTGGTGCTGATGCTGATGATGTTGATGATGCTGATGCTGCTGCTGCTGATGATGATGATGATGATGGTGATGCTGATGATGATGATGATGATGCTGATGCTGATGATGATGATGGTGAGGAGGAGGAGGAGGAGGGTGGTGGTGGTGATGGTGAATGTGAGTACACATGATGCTGCTGATGATGCTGACGATTAAGGCGGTGATGATTATGATGTGATTGTTGTTGATGATGGTGGTGATGCCAACGAGGAGGAGGACGATAATGATGCTGATGGTGATAATGAGAAGGAGGAGGATGAGGAGAGTGAGGAGTGGATGGACTTAACCACAACTACTGCACGTCCCCAGTGAAGATCACTGCCCACCACTGATGGCAGGGCAGGCTGGCGCGCAGGACCGATTGACTCGGCCCCCATGTCGCGACACGCGATTCTTTGGGCCGTGCCGCCCCTCGCCCTGCGCCTCCTTGTGAGGTCGTTCACTTGCCACGACGGCGGTCGGGTTTCCGCCGCGTGGCAGCGCCCAGCCTAACCCCCGCAGGCCGCTCTTGGCTACAGGACTGCCCATGCCGATCCGAGCCCCTTGCGCCTTTAGCCAGGACGCCTTCCCCGTCCGTGCCCTTGCCCCGATGTGATGATTAGAAGGGTCACGACAGCGGACATAGCCTCTCGCCGTGTAGATGGGTTTCTGTGCGGGCCAGCGCAGACTGGAGTTCCTTCTCTACTGCCGATCCGCGGACGGGTGCCTTCACGGCTAGTGCAGCTAGCACCCCGACGGACCGGGGACGACAACCTCTCAGCTGGACAGCATCAGGTCCTATCAGGGTGGAATCGCCCACGGCCCGTAGGGAACCAACTACACCAACCACCGCGCAGACCACGCGGGCCACGACTTTGTCAGGAGCCCTAACGTGCCGCCCACGCGTCGAGGTGCCCGCAGGTGCAGGAGGCTTCGCGCTTCACAGCGTTTGCTTGTGGTGATGTTTCTGTGTCGCTGCCGCTGTCCCCAAACCCTCACTAACATGGCCAACCTTGCGAACATCCCAGGGGAAGCTACGGCCACTGCGCCGCCCCACTCCCCTGTGGCGTGGGGTGCTCGGATGGGAGTGAGCGTCTGTGGTGGTAGTGATGGCAGCGGTGGCAGTGGTGGCAGCAGTGGCGGTGGTGACGATTGCGGTGTTTTTGGCGGTGGTAGTGGCAGGAAGTTTTGGTCGCGAAGTGAACCATTACGCAGGGAGTGCCTGTGGGAGATTGGTCGTCGAGGCAAGTGACTCTGGCCAGTGTAGAACGATGTGTGCCTCGCAGATGCTTCAAATGCTGTGCAGCTACCGTCGGAAGCACCGAGAGGTCAACGGGTATACGTAGGTGCACGGGAGCACGGAGTGGCCATCTACCCACAGGAGATGAACCGCAGGCACAACTACGAACTGGTCACCCAGCAGCTCGCAGACGACACCCAGTACGCGGAGAAGGTCAGAGCCGAGAAGGCGAGCTTGCGAAGTAATTTGATCGTCGTCCTGGGCCCCCCTGCTGCCGTTCTTGCCCTTCCCGCCGCATGCCTTGTCCCGCTGGCCTTGGCATCCCGCCTGCGCCTTCTGGCTCGACGAACTGCTTCGGCAGATAGCCCAAAGCGGCAGGGGCAGCCCTCTCAGTTGAAATCCTTAGCGTTCTGGTTTGGGTTTGAAGCAAGAGCCGTGTTACACCCGGGTGCTGACATACTGTTGAATGACGATGCCAGCGTCGATTGCAATACCTCTGTCCTCCAGAGGGACATCTACTAGCATGTGCCCCAGCTGATTGCAATGTCAACGGGTACACTGTGTGCACGAATTTGCAAGCATGGAACTTCCCAGTGTTTCCGACCGTCACATAGTTGTCCATTCCCATAGGCGATCGGACGTAGTGTGGAGACAGCATGCACATGTGCGGGATCTCTGGCGAGGGTTATTTGCCAACCTGCTTTTAACCTCGAGCACTCACTTTCTACAAACGGGTCAGGCCCTCTGGCCAGTAAGGTCGAGCAGGTAGAAGCGTTGTGTCCATGGCGCGACCTCATAATGCGGATTCACTTGTTGCAGCCCGTGCCTGGCAACAGCTGCGGTCGGTGCAATACAGTCAAGACGCTGAGATGAGGAGCCGCTCGGATTCGGAAGGAGCTCGCGGTTCCTTCGGTCCTCTGATTCCTCTAGCGCTGCTCGTGCACCCAGGCGCCTCGGGGGCCGAACAAGGAGGCTCGTTCCTTATCGAGGACGCCGGCAGCGCTTCACCGGCCGCTCCATGGGAGTTTCGCGCTCCTCATGCACCAAGGCGCTTCGGGGACCCCAAAGGGGCTTTGTTCATCTTCTTGGGGGCTCTATCATCTGCCCTTGGCCCCCTCTCTGGCTGACTGCTTGCCTGGCTATTTTTGTTCGGTTGGTTCGTTTGTCGGCTTGTCGGTTGGCTGGCTGGCCACTCGGCTGAGTGGCCTGATGTCTGAATATGTGGTTTTCAATTTGTTGTGGCTAGTTGCTGGCTGGCTGGTTGTTCGCACCTGCTGTAATTTGTAAGAGATGGTCGTCGGGAGCGCGCCTCCATCGTAATTGACGACGGTTCGTGGCTTCGAGAACGCGCATCCTTTGCTAATTTAGTTTGTTCGGGGCCTCGGGCCCATGGCGTATTTTTCGAGACATGGCGGGGGGACTGGCAAGCGCTCCCCGAACGCGTGCCCCATCACAGAGAAGCACGGGGCTCCGGCTCTGGAGGGGGGGGGGTGCTCTGGGACAGCGCTCGCGGGGTGGGCTCGTTGCCTCGGGCACCACGAGCGCGTCGTGCTTTGCGAGCCAACGTGGGTGCGGGAACGCGAGCTCGTTGGAAGCTGCCAGGGGGCTGTGGCCGAGGGACTGTTTCCACGGGGGCGCCGACGCTTACTCGTTGTCAGGGACCTGCGGCCTCGGGGGGGCGCGAGGGAGGCTGCTGCATCTGCACGTGTCCTGGGCCCCCCCCCCCCACATGCATTTTGGGGACGTGCTTCTGTGAGGGTTCCTGGGCGGTTTTCGGGCCGGGATCCTCGCGCGGGCTTCCATCTTTTCACATCTAAAGGATTGGGCACTGGGCATTGGGAGCTGGAGCTGCTGCAGAATGCAGGGGCACCTGCGCCTCGCAGCCGGTCGGCCCCCAGGCGGCCAGCGGGTCTGGTGGGCAGTGCAGCGCCAGCAGCCCTTGCAGGGGGCGAGGCGCCGCCCTCCAGACTGTCGGGAAGGACCGCGCTCTGGGCCGAGTGTCTGACACTCGGCCCAGAGCGCGGTCCCTACAGATCTCGGCAGGGAGCGTGTCAACCAATGCACCAATGCACGATCTTCGTCTTCGGCCCCCTTTATGGGGCTTCGACATATGACCCTCGGGGCCGACTGAATCAGAAGGCACACGTCGCATTCCGTGCAAGACCGCATCTTCGGGGTAGCGGAGGATGGGCCTCCAATCCTGGGCATGCGCCCGTCGGAGGCTCTTCGGAACTCAGAGGAAGTGGGTCCAATGGGCGTCGCTTCTAAGAGCCCAGCCTCGTGTGCTGCCCCCTCCCTTTTTATATCAACAGCTGTACTATGCCGTCCTCCTCTCCTTCTCCCCCTCCACCTCCCCGTCGTCCTCCCCCTCCTACTCCCCCTCTTCTCCTCCCCCTCCTTTCTTACTGGAACCTCGAAGGCGGTCGTAGTGCCGTGGCGCGTGCCTGGCCCCTTGCGGCGGAGGTTCAGACGAAGGCGGGCCTGCTGGCCGGCGCCGCGGACGACAAGGGCGCGCTGGGGGAGACGCAGGCCTCCAAGGAGGCAGGCGCGGCTGCTGAGGGGGGAGCCGTTTGTCGTGAGAAACATGGAGGGCCTAGATGATCACCTCGGAGAATGATGTGAGGCGAGGAGGAGCGAGGAGGAGCGAGGAGGAGCGAGGAGGAGGAGGAGGAGGATGAGCGAGGAGGAGGAGGAGGAGGAGGAGCAGGAGCAGGAGCAGGAGCAGGAGGAGTAGGAGGACGAGGAGGAGGAGGAGGAGAAGGAGGAGGAGGAGGAGGAGGAGGAGGAGGAGGAGGAGGACGACCCCTTCAGTGCAAGCACCGATTGGAGAATCTTGTTAACCAGTTACCAGAGATCTTAGCACGCCCTTGGCCCATTGTGCTGGCGAGTTATAATTGTTGTTGTTGCTGCTGCTGTTGGTGTTGCTGTTGCTGTTGCTGTTGCTATTGCTAGTATTGCTGCTGTTGTTATTCTTGTTGCGCTGGTTATTGTTGTTATTGGCCTTGGTGCTGTTGTTGTTGGTGTTGTTGATGTTGTTGCTGATGCTGTTGTTATTATTGTTGTTGTTGTTGTTGTTGTTGTTGTTGTTGTTGTTGTTGTTGTTGTGATCGTTGTAGTTGTGGTTGTGGTTGAGGATGATGAGGATATCGACGACGACGGGAAGGAGGAGGAGGGGGAGTAAGAAGGATGATAAGGGAGTGTGGGGGGAGGAGGAGGATAGGAGGGATATGGGGGGGAGGTAAGGGATGCTGGAGAAGAGAGGAGGGGGGGGAACATGTGGAGGAGGAAATGAAGAGGAGGAGGAGAAGCCGGAAAGACCATGCTAGACCCAGACTGCACCGTGTATGCCGTCATCAAACTTCGGGCAGCCCCCTGTGGAAGACGAGGGCCCCACGGCCCTGCCGGGCGGGCGAGAGCTCCTGTTTGGAAAAGGGGCCGCCCCGCATACTTCTGGCCAGGAGTGAGGAGCAGCACGAGGAGGCATGATCAGAGCGGTCCCGGACGTGTCCAGCCAGATCCCCCATTTGCCAACGAATGGCCCCCCCCCCCCCCCGCGTAACTGTTCCACACTTCTGCACGTCGGGTCGTGCTCGTGTGAGCGCCCCCCCTTTTGAAGCGGAGCCGCCCTCCATCCTTGGAGGTGTTGCACAGCTTTTTCCAGTCCGCGTTCTGCGAACGAGCCGCAGCCATCATCCAGCTTCGGAACTGGTGGGCGTTTTTCGAGCTTGCGGGTCCTACTTGGTGAGGACGGTTCTGGTGAAATGCTCGGCCCGTTCTGCCAGCACGTCTGGTGATGCGACCACGGTGGGTCGTTCATGTGGAAGATGTGTGGAGGAACGAGGGCTTTCACTTACAAGGCAATGTACTGCTTCGATGGAGGGCTGATCGTGCCGCCTTCACTCACGCAGTCCTCGTCAAAGCCTTGTGGCCACACGATGGAGCCAGTGCGTTCCGAGCTTAGACGTTTTCCTCGCAGTCACAGGGGGACGTTCGGGGAGCGGTGCTGCTGCTTAAGGCTTGATTCCCACAAGCGTCCGAGGACCCTCAAACACATCCAGGAACTTTGAAGCACCTTCCCTTCTTCCTCGCTCCTCCTACTGGGGGCTTGCAGATTGCCTGGCTGCACTGGAGGAGTATCGTTGCTTAGTTGCCCCAGACTTGGGGACATGAGCTGGTTTCGCCGGCGTTGGTTTCGCTGGCGCTGGTTTCGCCGACAGCTGGTTTCGCCGACAGCTGGTTTCGCCGGCGCTGGTTTCTCTGGCGCTGGTTTTGCCCCGCTGGTTTCGCCCGGCTGGTTTCGCCGGCGGCTGGTTTCGCCGGGGCTGGCTTCGCCGGCGCTGGTTTCGCCGGCGGCTGGTTTCGCCGTCGCCGTCGTCGCCGTCGGCGTCGGCGTCGCTGCCGCCGTCGTCGTCGTCGTCGTCGTCGCCGCCGTCGTTGTCGTCGTCGTCATCGTCGTCGTCGTCGTTGTCGTCGGGCGTCGGGCGTCGGACCCGGGCGGGCGGGTCGGGTCGGGCGGGCGGACGGGCCAGGCGGGCGGACCCTAACGGTCGGGTCGGGTCGGGCGGGCGGGACATGAAAGTGTGTGGCGCCTTAACGGGTTGGTCGGGTCTGGTGGGCGGACCCTAGCGGGTCGGGTCGGGTCGAGCGGGCGGACCTCAACGGTCGGGTCGGGTCGGGCGGGCGGGACATGAAAGTGTGGGGCGCCCTGGACCGAGCACGTGCGAACCCTAACGTGCGTGTCGGGTCGGGCGGGCGGACCCTGCCGGGCGGGTCGGATCTGGCAGTTTCGCCGACGGCAGCTGGGTTCGCCGACGGCAGCTGGTTTCGCCGACGGAAGCGGGTTTCGCCGCGGAAGCTGGTTTCGCCGACGGCAGCTGGTTTCGCCGGGCAGCTGTTTTCGCCGGGCAGCGAAACCAGCTGGGCGAAACCAGCCGGGCGAAACCAGCCGTCGGCGAAGCCAGCGGTTGCCGACTTGGGGGCTGACCTAGTCGGCGCGCCGCATCGGGGTGCTTCCAGTCCCGCCGAATCAAGCAGTCGAGGGTGCATCGCGGGCGTGCGGGCGCTGCTGCTGCGATGGATGTGTCCTTCCTCCTCTGCGGACGTTGATCCCGTTCTCTAATCACTCCCCTGCCGCGCCCCCAGACGTGTCCGTAGGGAGGGCCGAGCCTTTCGCATGAGACTTCCTCATTAGGTCTGTTCTTGCAGACCGAAGTCCTCAACATTTGCATGGAGGGACGGGGGTCGTTTTCAACATGGAATCATCGCTAACGCAGCGCGCCTTTTTTCTTCGAATTTTGTATCAGCTACACGGATCGGGCGGGGGTCGTTTTAAACATGGAGCTGTCGCGTCAGTTCCGCGCACGTTCGACTTGAACACTAGAAGCGTTGATGAGGGCGGATCGTATGTCGTTTTCAAAACTGTGCTCTCGCCTCAGCTCGGCGCACATTCGTTTTACCAGCTTGCGGCAACATTAAGGATGGAGGACGGTTCCGTTTCAACATTGCGCATGGCGCTCAAAGCTCCATTCCGTCCGCTTGAACCTAGAGACCAGAGGTTTTAACACGTGTAGCAGCTACACGGTTGGAGGGCGGTTCGTCGAGTTGGAGCTCTCGCTTGAGACGTCCGCGAAGCTCCTGGTGCAGCAGCTACACGCCTGTGGGCAGTCCTTAAGCGGGGATCTCACTGGACACTTTGCGTAGTTTTCGATGTCTGGGTCTGCGCCGCCAGGATACAAGACAGGCTTGCGCACAACGGAACTCTCGTCTGAATGGCAGGCCCAAGGGCGCTGTTTTTTGAAGTGGACGTTTCTAGGAATCTGTGGAGAGGGGTCTTCGGACCGGAGGGTCTATCGCGGCATCGCTGCTTACTTTATCATCTTCCTGATCTCTTGACCCCTCTGTCGTACATCCTGCTTCGGTTCCAGCTCCTGCTCGTGCTGCTGCTTCTGCTGCTGCTGCTCCTCCTCCCCTCCCCCCTTTCCCCCCTTAGTCTAGCACGGGGAAGGATTCTCGGCCAGCGCGTCCAGTGGACACGGTTTTGGTGGACACGTGTGCGGCCCCGTTGGCGGCGCCCCTGCTGCGAAGGCGGACGAGACGTACCTCAGCGACACCGTGTCGATGTGCCACCAGAAGTCGCACGACTACGAGGAGCGCGGGGAGGCTTGACGTCGCGGCCACAGTGCTGCCCCTCATTGCTGCGGGGTGAGCTGCGTCGCTGCTTCGTGTGCTCCGTCTCTTCGCAGATGACGGGGTGACGGGCTCTGCCTTCCTAGCCGACGCGGTGGGGGCCGCCGCTGCTCAGGGATTGTGCTGGGCGCGGTGGGCCCTGATGCGCTGCCTTGGCAGGGACAGCCCAAGGTGCATGCGCTGCGCTGGTCGGGAGGGAGGAGGCGGGAGCACTGCGGCTGGACGATGAAGGGGGGATGCAGGGAGGAGGGAGGTGGAGTGGGAAGCAGGGGAGAAAGGAGGACGGAGAAGGGTGGCAGGGATGGGGAGGCTGAGACGGGTGAGCTGGAGAAGCTTCTCGCAACAAGCAGGCAGCGCCCTGCTGGAAGCCACGCCGCCTTCTGCGCTGCTCTGTGGACCCTGAACGCTGCCCGGGATCGGGCAGGGGCCACATCACGGCACAGTGCTAGTCTTGCGAGGGCGCCAGAGGAGGGCCCCCTGGCGGCTGCGCCCTCAGCGGCTATCACCGCTTCCCGGCACCCGGGGCTGCCTATCTCTGGCGCCCGGCGTCCGCCCGCCGCATCCTGGCGTATCTCTCGCCTTGCGAGGGCGCTGGGGATGGCACCGATTGACCATCCCCCTGCGAGACGAGGAGGAGGAGGAGGAGGAGGAGGAGGAGGAGGAGCAGGGCAAGGAGTGAGATTTTGTAGCCTAGCGATTTCTCATCTAGCTGGCACGCTGCAACCCTCACCGACGTGTACCATGGGCCAGATGGCAGCGCCGTGCCGTTCGTTCTGATGCAAGCTCCCAGTGGGACCGCCTTTGGGGAGCTGGGTCTGCAGTGCATTCCCTCGATCTTGGCTGCGACCTCGCTGCATAGGAGTGTCCCGCCATCCCCTCGTATCTTCCTGCTGGCCACAAGTTGGCCACAAACGCGCAAGCTGTCTCCACTCGCTCGCATTTGCATGGTGTTAGTTGCTATCCGCACTTGCTTGACTGCCCCGACAGTGCTCAGGACGTCTCAACTCGTCGTCGTCGTCGTCGTCGTCGTCGTCGTCGTCGTCGTCGTTGCCATGGTTGTCGTCCCTTGTTCCCCCCCTTCTCCTGCTGCTGCTGCTACTGTTCTTCCTCTTCCTCATGCTCTCCCCCCTCCTCCCTTCCCCTTCTTCCTCCTAACTCCTCTTCCGCCTCCTCTCCTCCTCCGTGCTGCTGCCCGTGCATCTCTTGCCTGCCATAGCCACCCATCCGTGATTCCTCCCATGGCCGCGAAGCGCTGCCACCCTCCCTGGGCGCTCTTTTGAGCCCGCCAGTGGGCCCCGGGCACCAGGAGCGGCAGGTGCTGCGCGCGGAGGAGCTGGAGGCCCTGAAGAAGGCGCGCGCCCGCGGCCGCGCGCTCGCGGCGGGCCCCGCGGCGGGCGCGCCTCTGCCGTCCCGCGCTCTCCGCGCTCTCTCTCGCCTCGCCTCTGCAGGGGGGCTGCAGCGGCACCTTCGGGAGCGTGTAGATCGGAGAGGTGCGCCGCGGCAGCGCCGTGGACCTTGGACTCGGAGGGTGCAGCTCCTGGCCTGTGTCTCATGCTGCCCCGAGCGGGGCCGTCGCCCGTCTTCGTGGGGCCACGGATGCCAGCCCGACGCGGTCGGCTTAACAAAAACAGCGCGCGCAGGCAGAATTTGAGCCACCTGAAGGTACGGCGGGATCGGATCACTTGGGAGCGTGACAGGCCCGCTGCCCCGCGATGCCCCTTGCCGCGATCCACTCCCTCCCTCCCCGCCGATGAGGGTCTGGCGGGCGCCAGGGAGATGGGTCATCTTCCAAGCGCCGCCGGAACGAACTCACCTCGTACCCATTGTTGGGCGGAAGTGCCAAAGACAAAGAGTTACCGGAAAGCCGTTCTTGCAGATTCGCTCTGGCCTCTTCCATTGACTGCCATACTCTTGTCCTTCGGTCGTTTCGTAGCACCAGGCGCCAGCTTTGCGGCTTGCTTTTCTTCGGGTGGTCTGCTCTATTTCCTCGCTGTGATTGAGGGCTGCCAGCTCTGAGCCAGGCGGACACAGGCATTACGTCACTCGATGTATCAAACCTCCTCGCACCGATGCAAGAGTGCTGGGCCAACCTGCAAGATGTTCTCAATCAGGATGAGGCGGAGCTTGTAGAGCAAGGCAACCGCGATCCTGTGCTGCAGGTTACGCAGGAGCAGATCGAAAGCGTTACCAGATTTGTTCTACAACGAGTTCTGCAACGAGTTCTTGGCATTTCTCTTTCGTCACTCCAGGGCTGCGGGCAGTCTAGTTGTCTGATGGGCGTTGGAATTAGCGCTGTGGGCGTTTTGAAGGGGAGGGGAGTCGAACGGGGCCCCCACCCCTCTGATTGCAGGGGGGGGGGTGCGAACCTGGGGGGGCGCCCCCACTCCCTTCGGGGGGGTGGGTGTTCGAACGGGGGCCCCCCCCTCCCCCTCCTCCCTCCATAGTGGCAACCGACGACAGCGAGGGCTGGCGCTGGCGCCAGTGCCGTCGGGCATCGAGCCGGCGACGACGACGACGACGACGACGACCGCGATTGAGCCTCAATTGGATACAATCGAATGGCTATGAAGGCTGGATCGAGCCCGAGTAAGGTTTATGTAGCTCTGGATCTAGCCCTCGCAGGATTCAATTCGATATTGATCTGGCTAAGGTAGGGTGCTATTAGATCTGGGTCGGTCCTTAGTAGGACTGAAGAAGAACTGGATCCAGGTATAATAAAAGCCGATTGGGGTTGGACCGAGCCCAACTAGGACGCTATAAAAGTTGGATGCAGCTATCGTAGGATTGCGTTAGATTTGGATCGAGCCCGACTCGGATGCTATTGAAGTTGGGCGCAGCTTTTGTAGGATCAAGAGCTGGATCGAGCCGTAGTCGCATTCTCTTAGGGGGAAGAGGGGTGAAGGGTTCGAACCCCCCCGCCCCTTGCACAGGGTGGGGCGGGGAGGGGTAGCAGGACAATGATGCCTGCATTCCTTTCGCATGAGGTGGCGAGCTGCAGTGTACAGAGGAGGACGCGTGCGGGCGGAGGCCCTCTGCGAGGCTGTCGAAGTCTGGAGTTGTGCCACGCACGGAAATGCGGATTGTGCGGTTCGGACCAGCGCCCTTTTTGTGGGCGAGGTTCTTGCCAGGGACTCGTCTTGCCGCGACCGCACAACACTTTCCAAACACGAGGGGGTACTCTGATCGTCATCGCCGCCCTGTTCCAGCACGCTGCGGTCAGAGTACCAACAGCTAGCACAACGCCATGTATGTATTCGTCGAGTGTTGGATTGGCAAGGCGCTTTTCCGAATGACAGCATTTCCTATGCATGTCTTCTGCCAGCAGAACGGCCCCGTTGCTGTAGCAATACGTGTTCAAAGTCGGTGTTCCACCCGAGTCGCATGTCTCATTCGTCTGACGCGCTGCTCATTGCTCGTCCCGCTCCCCTCCTCTCTACCTCGCCCCTGCTTGACATGTATTTTTGGTATTGTGTTTCTGCGGTGCTTGTCAGTCCTACCCGACCTACCGCCCGGGCATGTCTTATACAGCACGCGACAGGCCTCCCGTGCTCCCAGGGCCCCACCTGCGTCTCCCTCTGGGCTGCCTGCGCTGCCTCCTCCCTCGTCTGCTCGCGCGTCGTCCCAGTTTCTCCTCCTCATCCCAACTTCTCCGATGCCACGGCCCCCCTTCTATGCCAAGCTCGCCCCCCCCACTCCATCGTTCCCTACTTCTTGGAGGTGGCTTATTTTGGAGGGGGCTGGACGATTCACCTGGCTTGGTGTTCACGGTGTGCTTGCCAGCAGTTTGGGGCAGATCGTTCAGGCCTCGGTTTTGAACCGCCTTCGGGAAGGCCCGCGCAGATGTTTTCATATTGTGGTGGCTCCTTGCTGCCGAGCTTCGCCTAGCTTTGCTTCTGCCTCTTCTCCACTCTGCCTTCCCCTTCCTCCTCCTCCTCCCTCGTCCTCCCTCCCCTGGCTCCTCCCTCTGTTCTCGCAGAGGCCATTGATATCATCTCCAGCAGCAAGGCCAGCCGTCGTGCGCGATCTTGCACGCGCCACTCCTCGACTTCTCGGGGCACATGTGTTGGAGATCTTTGAGGTTGCGGTTTCGGTTTTCGAGTCCCACGATGACTGGAGGTGGCGGGTGGATGAGGGAGGACGGGCGAGCATGTCGACGAGTAGCTGGAGGAGGGAGAGGGGGGAGGAGCGAGGGGAAGGGGAGGATGTGAGGATTGCAGTGGCAGAGAGGAGATCAGCACGTCTCGCCCAGTCCTTCCCTCTCTCGGCTGCTGCCTGGGCCCGGGCCGAGGGCCCCAGGTTTCCACCGCGACGGGCGGCCTGCGCCCGGAGGTGGGCAGAAGCCTGCAGGACTCTGCGCGCTCGGCGGGAGAAAAAATGGGCCGCGCCCAGGCCTCGAGAGCCGGAAGGGGGGGGGGGGTCCGACTGGCAGCGGGGCAGGGGGGGGGGCCACGGACGATGGATGGCCAGCTCCGGGAGTCACGGGGAGGAACTCTACGTGGACAGGGACGGTATCCCTCGCTGGGACGGCGAGAACATCGCAATGCTCAATGAGAGAGAGAGAGAGATAGAGAGAGCGAGAGAGTACGTACTCCATGCGGGCGAACATCGAGTACGACATTCAGTCGGCGACGATCGACGTCGGCAAGGAACAGAGGAGCAACCTCGGCCTGAGGTTGACCTGGGGGCGATCGGGAAAGGCCTTGAAGGCGGTCGAGGCCCTACTGGACAAGATGGCGCTGCTCACCAAGCACGGCGGCCACACGCTGATCATCGAGGCTCTCGAGGGGCTCGACAAGGTCGCGGTGGTTCGCAGGCAGCTGAAGGCCGATAATTGCTTGAAGAGGTCGCGGCGCCGACGCGGCCAGGACATCGTGGAGTACTTGCTGACCTTTACAACAAGTACGAGGAGCTCGCGGAGCTCGACAAATATACATATCTGAGCGACGACCTGTACGCCTACTTTTTGCGGGAGGGGGCGGCGCTCAACGATGACCAGAAGCGGCTGGTGAAAATTTGTGGCGGACAACAACTACGAGACCGACCGCTTCGAGAAGACCCCGAAGACGAACTGACACCACCTGCACCTGCAGGAGCAGCGGATGAGGCCACCTCACTGACGTCGACGTCACGATTGCACGACTTTGAACGCCTAAAACTTGTTCGCATGCGGGACGACGACCTTGATCCACCGGACACGAAGATACTCAAGTCATTGTTCCGAGCTCAGATCCGCAGACAACCATGGATGACGCCAGGCGTGCACGACAACGACAGGATGGAGTCGAATGGCCCCAATCGCACCTAGGATCGGTTGCGAGAGCGTGTTTTGATCAACATCGAGATGCGCCGACCCGAACGTAACCGGCGCAACCTCAAGAACGAGACAATTCGTCACGAATTGGCCGTATGCGCAACATACAAAGCAGGCCGTTGCAACAACGGCGAACGGTCCAAACCCTTACATACTTGATCTGGCAGCCGTTCCACGCGGCGACCTCGCGGGCGCGCATCGCAGGCCGACTCGGATGCCCGCGAGAAACGACCCTCCACTGGACGAGGCACACAACGGCCACCCAAAGACGGAGGTGCCAAGAACTTCTGTTTCTCTTACACCAAAAAAAGCAACGGCACCTGCCCGCGACAAGACCGGTGCAGATGGCCTCACGTTCCAAAGTGCAGCTTCTTCGCCGACCCAGGCAAACATTGCAAGCAGGGCACCGGCTGCCGCTGCGCCCACATTGCGTCTGACACCGAGACCCCCAAGAGGAGCCCCAGCCGCGCCCAGTCAGGGCAGCTACAACGGGACGTCCTCCCCCAGACGCGCGGGGGGCAACCGACACTCCCCACGCGGGGGTTGTCAGGGCTCACGGAGTCCGGAGGCCGCTGGTGGATTTTCCAGGTTTCGATGGATTCGCGACGGGGCGACGGAAGGCGCGGTGCCCGCGACACTCCCGCTCTCCTTCGCGGGGCGGCAGCAGCGACAGCAGCAGCAGCAGTAGCAGCAGCAGCAGCAGCAGTAGCAGCAGCAGTACCAGCAGCGAGCGGTCACTTTCGACGCGCTACAGGAGTCGATCCCTTGCAGCGACGCGATGCGTTCGACGACGGGACCGGATGTGTGTGATTCGTGAAATGACCTTGATGGCGGTATCTACACGCACCACCATAGCACCGCGACGCCACTTACGTTGCGTTGCGACCTCGGCAACATCGACGTCATCACCTACCCTGTGCCCAAGCGGCAAGTGGCCAAATTGCATTCCGAAGCCGACGAGGGTGACCCCGTTGTCGTGCCCGACCAACTGCCGGACAGATGGTTGCAGGACAGCGCCGAGGCGCTCCAAGCCTGCCAGCTCGAGGCGCAGAAGTGGCACGATGATCGCCGTCCCAAACAGACTTACCACGGTGCCAGCCCTGCCACCCGACGACAGCCCAGCGTCGGTGGCAACGCCCACGACCGAGTCTACCACGGTGACGCGGTCCACTGCAGCGATGTCACGGACGTGGGTCCTGGACAGCGGCTCCGCTCACCACGTCCAGGACAAGGCCGACCTCGCGAAACAGGAAACCATTGACGTGTACCGAGGACGCGAACATACATTGGAAACGGCCAGCGGTGACAGGATCGTCAACGAACACATCCACCTGAAGCTACCACACATTAGTTTATCCAGCTCAGCCCTTGCACGGGATGACTTCCCATGGGTACTCTCTGTGGGACATCTGGTACAAGACGATGGCTTTCGACAAATCTGGGATCCTCAATTGGGTTACTTACTACAGGACCCACGTGGTCAATGGTACAGGGTTGCCGTCAGGAACCGCATCCCAGGAACCGACTTCAACAGTCTTGAACGGATTTCGCCGCCTCAGTTGCGTGCCCCACCGCAAGTATCACGACGTCCACGACGAGTGCGACGAGATGGGCATGATGATTCGTGCCCTTACATGGGTAGGTGCTGCGTGGATGATGCCATTGCGAGCACGCCCGCGTCTACGCCTCTTGTGAGCGACCTGGCGCTTTGTGTCCCTGCGCCCGTGGATGCGCCAAAGTCTGCGCCGCGCGTGAGCGACCTGGCGCTTTGCGCTTCAGCGCCGGCGGGCGCGCCCGCGGCCGCGCCGCATGTGGGCGACCTGGCACTTTGTGCCCTTGCGCTGGTGGACGCGCCCGCGTCTGCGCCATCGGCGACCTTTGAGTCTCCAGGGCCCATGCCTGCTCCGTGAAGCTCCGCTTCCGCTGCTCCCACTCAGGAACAGATCGTCGAAGTACTCCGCGCTGAAAGCGATGATGTCCTGCAGGATGACGAGAGGGCTGCGAAGGAGACGGCCCTCACGGAGCAGAACGAGCAGATCATGGCCGAGCTTCCTGGCACTGCCTCGACGCGTATCTCGCGGAGACATTGCGATGGGCGATCTCCCCGATCAGGTGGCCGATGTGGGATGCGAATCTCCTTCCGCCGATCTGGCCACCGATAGCGCTCGCTCGATCCCTGATCAGGCCCTCCGTGATCTCGGCCATGAGTTGAGCGCCGGTGGAAACGCCTGTGAGCGGATTGATACTGGCCCAGGCAGGGGCAGTCGGAATTCAGACGGACACAATAGCTTGCACCGACCTCCATGCCAATTTTGATGAGTACTTTTGCAAGATGTTTGCGAACGCTCTCCAAATCGGCGAGACGGGTCAGGACCTTGTGACCTTGGCGCAGCCCAGAGCGAGGCATCGCACTACTGCGACCACTGCGGGGGGCAACCCCTTCGGCAAGAGGACTGTTCCGGTCGCCGACCCCCGCTCTACCCCGTCGCCCTCTCCTTCGCCGCCGCGCTGCGACGGGCCCGCCATGGGTGCTGCCTCCTCCTCGACCGCGGCGTCGTCCAGCGGCCCTGCTCCTGGCGGCGCAGACTGGGGCGGCGGGGCTGCAACAGCTGCCGCGGCGATCGCGGCGGGGGCGCGGGGGCCGATCACGCCGCCGCGTCTGCCGCAAGGCTCGCAGCATATGTCTGGCAAGCGTGCTCGACGCGTCGCCTGCAGGGCGCCCCCAGAGGCGCGGCGGCGCTACAGCCCCGAGCACTACCGCGACAACGCATACCTCACTGGTCGTACTATCTGAACAACTGGACCTACATCGATGAGAACGCTTGTGCATATATTTGGTTTTATCGTATCTTGACTCGCGCGATCAGGCAATAGGATAACCATTGCAATCGGATGTGAGATGATCCGTATTATGATTTCCACGGGTGTCGTTTATTGATTTGCTGTTGATATGAGATCGCTGCGCATTCCTTCTTGGCGGCGTCACGTGGCAGGCTCCCCTCAAACGGATGCGTTTGAACGGCGTTTTGTTATTCACCTACAGGCTTTTCTGCTTTCATATGACAACGTATCGTCATTTATCTTTTGGCATTATGGGCATAGACGTACCCCAGCAGGTCGCGCGCCAATCGCACGTGGCTCTTTTGTCGGCATCCACGGCATGAACGCACCCAGGCAGGTCGCCCGTCGCAAATTTTATCGTATCATAGATAACTTAAGGGCCTGGAGCGCATCGCGCATGACCCCATAGTATCACTCATTTGATATGTTGTCGCGGCAGCATTGGTCGCATGCAATCTCTTTGACCAGTGGTCGTAGCAACGTTGATCATAATGCCAAGTTGCCTTTTGGCGCGGCCCGCGAATTATGCTTCCTTGGCGTGGCTTGATCCGTTGTCGCCACGAGTTTGATCACGGTGATCTTGAATTCAAAGTTTTGGCTTGGTGTGCGCCCGCGCGACTTGAGTTCTTCTGCGCGCGACGTATTGCGTGCCGGTGGAAACGCCCGCGTCTGCATCTTTGACGCGGCAGTGTTTCCGACTTCTTCTATCCCTCGTTCGCCCAATCTCGTCGCCCGTGGAGAAGGGGGGGTCGCCCAGGAGTGCCGAAACGTTTTTTGGGGTGCGCACCCTGGGCCCGCCAAAGGCGGGCTGACCCCCCCCCAGGTACCCTGTGCGACGTGGTTGCTCCCTTTT